TGAAATATCTTTTCCCACCAAAGATTAATTAGTTAAATTTATTCTATAATTCTAGCCTGTCTCTTTCTTGCTGGACTTCTTTCCAGGCTGGAGATCATTGCACATATCCACTGTTACCAGTTCTTAATCTTAATCTTTTTTCCTTCCAGCTCCTAAACATATATCTGTTCCTGCTATGTCTTCCCCTTAAATTACACAAAAGACTTTCAGTTTGAGAGGCACAAGGGAACAGAAAAAGTCTTTCTAGCAATTTACAGATTAACAGAAAAAACATCCGACACAGAACCAACATAAAGAACTCAAGGTTTTTATTTGAAGTCTCTAATAGGAGACTTGATTCAGTTGGACTTTTTTTTTTTTTTTTTTTTTTTTGCAGTGACTCAGCTGGAGGTTTTTGCTCTAGTTTCCATACTCTGTTCTTTGTTTAAATGGCTGTGCCCTCTCACCAAAGAAGGATTTATTGCTATTACACTGGGTTAAAATTTCTTAGAGCCTTATTACAACTTGCTGTTTTAATGCACACACCTATATGCTTTGACCAGTCATCTCAAAACGGTGGCAGAAAGTCACAGGTTTATATAAACAAGAATCAGGAGGCAGAGTTGAAAAATTTCTTATTTTAGCAATAAAGAATGTTGTCTGGTTTATATTCAGGTGGCATAGCATAAGCTGTCTGAAACATAACCTTGGCAAAACTTCAGAATAATCCCATGTTTAAGTCTTGTCTTTTTCTTTTTGTATTTTATTTTATCTTTCTGTTGGTTCATTCATTATTGTATCTTTCTTATGGAGAAAAGAAATTGCTTTCTGTCAGACTTCATATCAACCCTCAATGTTATTACAAATTAACCTTGTACTTTGTTACTGTCCAAAAACAACCCAAGCAAAGACTCCAAACATTCTAACTTTACAAAAATAGCATGTCTTAGCCTTCCCCCCCCCCCCCCCAATGAACAAGCAAACAAGGTCATTCTAACTTCGCTGGTTACTAGGATATTGCTCCTACCCCTTTAATTCACTTATGTCAGGCTTAAATTTTCCCTAATTTGTAGCTTGATAAAACAAAAAAATCATCAGCATTGTCAGAGGTTTTGGTTTTCTTCCAGTGTTTGTCAGATTGGAATGATTTTGATCATTCTTTTGATTTTGATTATTTTGGGCTTCATCTGCCTGAAAGTCAAAACTGAAATTTCTTATCTTTTCTGGTAGGACTGTTTTCTCAGTACAAGAAGCTGCCTCTTCTGTCCCATTCAGGAAGTTGTATTTGGAATAAGAAACTTCTGGTAGATTGCAATAGATCTAATTTGTTATGTAGAAAACCTCTGCAAATTTGTAAATGCTGTTTCTCCAAAAATCTATGCTTTGGTATTCATCTCCTGAATTCTGTGTTCACTACCTGATATTGTGGTCCCATGATCTCTCTAAAGAACCATGTAATCACAAGGTCACTGAAGCAGGCAATGTTAAAAACAGTCTCTATTTCTTTGAATATATAAGAGACTTGCCAGTTAAGGCCCGCTGAAACTGCAGGGAACTTCTGCTTTAACATTTCTGAATTACTTCTAACTCAGTTTTATTGACTTTGGCTTTAAAAGACTGACTGTTCAGCAGCCTGAACCCTCATAATTTTCAGGAGGGAAGGAGATGTGGTAGATGCTAGGACTGTTCTTTCTCATAAGCATTCCAGGAATGGGTACATTTATGAGAAGTTAGACTGGAGAACTGAGATGGTTAGGTCATTCTGTATCAGCTCTATACCTTTCATGGATACAGATACATGATGAAATACGTATTTTCTAGGCAGGTGTTTTTTCCAGTGGCTTCTCATTGGTGGCATTGTCAGTGAGTGATACCATTGGGGGGGATGCAAGACTTCAGTTATAACAACAGAAAGCTAATGACCTCTTCCCTTTATGGAGCACTGTCTGAGCTGTCTTTTAATCCAAACAGAAAAACATTCCCATCTGACTTCAAGACACACAGTTTGGGTTAATTAGAACAGTGTTAAATAACATTTGTAATTTCGTATTATCTATTCTAGATTATGATTAAGATGAACATAGAAAAATTGTGTGCTTTTCTGTTTAAAGGACTGACTTCTATTGCTTTTTGAAGCAATGCTATTCCCAAAGTATTGAGAATTTTTCTATTCCCCAAAAGATTGTTTTTAAAATCTTAAAAGACTTAAACACCAATGTTTTTAAACTGAAATTCTAAACATGCATGCTTATGTCTGCATTTGTGTGAGAGCTCCATATATCATTTTCTCTTTTTATTGCCACAGCAGTTTCCATATTCAATCAGATGCAAATAAGACTGTCTCATGTGCTTTTGTATTTCTTTTATTTTTCCTTCATTTTTTTTCCCTTCATTTTTTTTCCCTTCGGTTTTGTCATCTTGCCTTATAAAACCTACCGTGGTCCTGTTCTGATCTGCATTCGTCATCTCATTGACTAGTATCATAAACACCTGCTGGATTTTGTGTCCAAATGAAGGCTAGTGAAGGGTCTAGAGAACAAATCTTACAGGGAGCAGCTGAGGGAACAGGGATTGTTTAGCCTAGAAAAGAGGAGGCTTGGGGAGACCCTATCATAAAACTACCTGAAAGGAGGCTGTGTCTAGATGGGTATCCATCTCTTCTCTCAAGCAACAAGCAATAAAACAAGAGGAAGTGGCCTCACATAGAGTAGGCTTAGGTTGGATATTGGAAAAAAATTCTTCATTGAAAGAGTTATGCAGCATTGGAACAAGCTGCCCAGGGAACTGGATTGAGTCACCATCCCTGAAGGTATTCAAAAGATGTAGATGTGGTGCTTAGGGACATGGTTTAGTGGTAGATTTGACAGTGCTAGTTTAATGGTGGACTTGATGATTTTGGAGGTCTTCTCCAACTTAAATGATTCTGTGATTTCATATTCTGCTAATTTTATAATGAAAACAGTTTAACAGTTATATAGTATTGAATGAGATGAGAGTAGTCAGTGATGAATGGTTAAATTACCTGAAATGCAAGAGGTTTGGTGAAGCTGGCAGCTCAGATGTTTCTTATTGAGTAATCATGTGATTACTGTCAGGTTTATGCCTTTCACCTCCTTTGAATTAGAAGCTTTGCAACAGATGGAGAAAGCACTAAGTAGTTTACCATAAATTTTACTCTACAGAAACTAATGTAAGATGATAAAAAATACTTGTATTTAAACATACTAAAACCTTGTCATCCCCCAGTGTTGGGATATTAACTGAAGAGTAGAGCTCAAACTCAGATTAATTTCTGTTAGGAGTTTTAGTATGGTACTTAACATAACTTTGGATTGTTGCAGTTAAGATGTTCTGAGAGTTATTTGTTCAAATTAGAACTTGAAAACTATGGAGAACAAAGTGAGGAATATCATCATTTCACAATTCCGTGTGTAAATGTTGCTACAATACAAATAGTTTAAATTTTGTGTACACAAAATGTACCTTCACATAAACATCAATGTTAAACCTGGTTAGTTTTCACCAGGTGGAATTAACTTAGTAATGCATATTAAATAGTCTTAAATATTTGTGGTCAGTAAAATGATTTTCTATTCATTATACATGTGTATCTTCCTGTTAGTTATTTTCAACAGATCGCTGAAGCCTTGCTTGTTCTGTGACACAATAACTCTAGAGCCACTAATACAGTATTTTGTGTTGTTTTTCCAAATTTTTGCTTTATGATTTTCTTACTCTTTGCAGTAGTAATTTTTATGTATGCTATGCCACAAAAAAAAAAAAAATCAGGTAAAATCCTGTAATGATAAGTGGGAGATGACAGTTGACCACTGGCCATATTCTCCTTGTTTGTCTTGAACTTGTTTAAAGCTGTTACTTCTGAGGGAATTAATTCCTTTATGACTGCCTTCAGTTTGGGAATGAAGATAAAGGGAAATCTTCAAGACAGCATACTTAAGTATGCCTCTCATGTTAGAGTCCTGATGGGAGTCACCTCAAATGGGAAGATTAAAAAAAATGCTAATCAGGCCAAAGAAAATTTTTCAAGAAGGGCAGTTGCAGGAGGAGGAATTAAAAGGGAGAAGAAATTAGACCTCTGCTCCAATAACAGCATGAACTTTCTTTTCTCCTGGTTCAGTTGCAGAACATTCATTTGCAGCTAATCAGCTCATATTTTAGCCCAATAGCATTCATGGTGTTTAATACTTAAATCTCAAGAGAGAAATGTATATCGGTTATCTTAGAGGTGTGCCTGTGCTTCTAATTAGCGTACTGATGGATCGTTCCTGCCTATTCTGGTAGGTATGCATATGCTGCACACTATTATGTCTCTCTGTTTGCTTCTTAACTTAATACATCCACAGAAAAACAAGATATGGTAGATTGCCTTGTGATCAGAAATGGATTTTTCAACAAGTGCATTCTTGGGCTATAAATAGCGTTTTTATTACTTCTGTTATGATAACTCCTGTTACTGATTACATTAAGGCCTCGTGTTTGTGAGCAGCTGCAGGCACTTGATAATGACACAGAAATGGTATCAAATGTTGAGAAAACAGGCTGGAAGTTTGTTCACTAGAATTCAGTGCTATATAGTGAAGGGAAGCTTGTACAGTGTGTGGGTTTTCTTATGACTTAGTTGACAGAACTTTGTTATCAGTATGTGTTTCAATTTGTTTTGAACCTATTGATTGCAGAAATAGGTAGCTGAAAAGCTTTGCAAGAACTGTTTGTGTAACAAGGATTTCACAAGTTTGTAAGAATTTATGAGGACGGAAAATTGCATTATGCTCTTTGATAATGTGAAATTTAGCTGCATTAATGAATAGTGTTCAGCTTTTTGCCATTGTTCTTAAAATGTGAACATTTCCATAATCACAAACTATGAAGCTAAATAATGCAGTAAGAGGAGATTTTTATTTTTTTCCAAGCTCGTATGATCATTATTATTAGGCTTTCTCCAAGATAATTGAGCCCCACTCTGAGTTGGGTGCTGTAGCATTATGATACGGGAGTATGCTGCTCCATTTTGTTAGACAAACAGGATGGATACTTAGGTTATTTCTCTCTAGTACAATTATTACTTGTTAGGTCTAAAGGAAAACTGTATGTATTCTGATTTTTGAACTTTAACTTTGTTTACATATCTTTAATTTTTGACTGTTTGTACGTAATATTTATGTCTGATTGTTCTCATTAAGCTATATTTCTGAAGTTTTTTTTTTAATTTGGAGTTTTTTCAAAGTATGGGGTTTTTGTGTTTGTATGTGAGTGACAGGAAGTAACTGTTGTCTAGTTTCAGGTTATGCTGGTAAGCTGTTTTACTTCTTCTTTAGGGATGTGTTAAGACTTGTGAGATGTTCATTTTCTAGGTAGAAACTGAATCTATCAGTTAGGGTCGACCTGGGAGAAAGCAAGGTAATTTGGACTTCTCAGACAGGGAAAAAGCAATGCTTTATAGAGCTGAAGATTAAGGGTCTTGCTTGTGATGCTGAAGATGAAGGTTTAAATCCTTTCATCAGTTTGAAGTGATCTGGATAGGAAGGCCTTGCTCTAAGTAGAGCAAATCTGTCTTCTCTGGCGTTTTGATAACCAATAATTTTGGAAAAAAAAAAAAAGAAAAAAAAGATTTCACAGTTTTAAAAAATAATTTGTAGTATTCTGAAAGGTGGTAGTATGTGATTAGTCACTTTTGTAATGATAAATCTGTTTGAGCTTATTGTATTCAGGTAACTAGAGAACATGGGACTTTCAAAGGAAGTTTGTGTATTGTCACCTCTGGGCAACTCACTGGGTGATGAGATTCACTTTTACCCAAGTGTCCACAAAACTACTCATTGGTATGATCTTCAGATAGGATACTTCTCATTCATGGAAATTAGGAGCAACCAAGAAAAAGGTACGTTCTGTGTGTGTTTTTTTCTGTGTGTGTTTTTTTTTTTTTTTTTTTTTTTTATAAGATCAAAAAGGAGTTGAAAGGATTTTGGAAAAGTGCTGCTTTTCAGTTACTTCTTATAAAAATTTGTACTTTATCCTTTGTACTTCTGCCCATGAGACAATGACCTTATTAAATAACATTGAAGATTAAACATTAATACAAGTCAAGTATCATAACTTTGTTCTTTTTTACCAGGCATTTGGCAAAGAGATAGAAGATCTATAAGTATGAAAGATAATGCCAGTTTTGTAACATTTGTCTTATGCTTGGGCAGTAACTGGCAAAAGTGGATGGCAAGAATAGAATTTATGGAAAACTGGAATTTATAACTACTTACTGGGTCAATCAAGCTGTATAGAAGATGTAAGATACTCTGAAGCAATAGGTCAGCAGAACTGCTGAAGGATGAACTAATAATAGTTGGGTGTTCCTTTTCCCAAATCCGGAATGAATTTATAAACAGCAATTACTCAGCTTTTCAGGCCCAAGGAAGGGCAATTTGTAGGATAACTGCAAAAAAAACAATACGTAAGTTGCTGGAGAGGAAAGGAATGAATAGATCTAGGCTTTTTCTAGAGAGCTACTGTGGAGAAGTGATGGAAAAATTACTCCCAGTCTGCATTTGGGGCTTATGCATTGGTACAAACCTTATATGATTGTTACCCACTTTTAAAACTCTTCCAGGAGCATTACAGTATTGAATTAGGAATCGTATTTACCTAAATATAAAAATAGCCATGTGGGAAGTTACTCATATTGACTCCCCTAAATAAGATTTAAGAGAGTATTTAAAGTTGTGACTCTGAGAAAAAACACATTTCCAATTCAGTCTAAGCAGTCTGAACATACAGTGAAGAAAATACATTGCTTGAGGAGCTTCCTCGCTTGCATGACTGACTGCTGTCATTGGTTGATTTCTGTGTAGCAGATACTAACAAGGCATCTGCTTTTCAAATGAAACTAACTCCTTCAGAACAGGAACATATGGAGAGAGTAAAACTGAAGCCAGTGATTCAGTTGTAGCACAAGAAGCTGCCTTACGTATCTTTGTCCGCTCACTTTCTTCCTGCAACATGTTCTGGTTGCTAAATGCAATTTCCTTTGTAAAACTAAGACGTGATAAGAAAACTGTTTTCTAATACAACCAGCTTGTAGTCTTGAGTGTCAATAGTCTCTGAGAATTTTTATCCGAGAATCTGGTTTTGTGTATGTGTAAGGGTCAATTTGACCCATAACTATAACCAGGAGGAAGAAGGAAGCTGATGAATGGGTTAGTAATTTAGGGACAGCATTAAAAAGGAGTTCAGAGTTTGTGCAGTATATACTGCTTTGCCAGCAAAAGAACAGCAATCTACTGAGAACTATGAAATAACAAATTTGGAGATGGCTTTTCAGTGTAGGGTTTAGGATCTGCAGTTATCTTGCTTTGCCATTAAACTGCTCCATCGTGATGTGTTCTTTGTAATGCCTACCTCATACATGGAAAGTCTGAAAGAGGAAGAACTAAATCTATGAATTGTGCTAGTTTTGTTTCTTTTTTTTTTTTTAAATATTCTTTTTATTTTAAAGTGCATTATTATATTCTTAAAATAGAAGTATAAAATAGGTGGATAATTGTATGAAGAGACAGGAAAAAAGATGATGGTGCAAACTTGACTGTGAAATCCCTAGATAAGTTATACGTATGTTGCTTTACAGGCAATATATTCTGTGTTAATGCAATCATTTCTGCATAGAATCAGTTATTACCAACCCTCTAGGAGGGTGCGCTGTATATTCTGTTTTGAGGCATAAGACCTTGTTAAGTTTCTTTGTTTAAGGGACTACAGGAATAGAAAGGCTCACATCAATTTGAAGCCTTTTTTTTTTTTTTTTTTTTTCCCCCTGTGGGATAATCCTATTTCAGTTGTAAAAAAAAACAACCAACCAACCAAAAAAAACCAGCTATTTGACAAACCTATGCAAGAAATACTCTATATATGTTTCCACGGTCATATTGATGGTATAACTGATTCTTGCTTTAGTAGAGAGACACAAGTCACCATTTGTGCTGAGCAGACATGAACACAAATGCAGACTGTATGAAAAATAACCTACCTGGCTTCACATTGGTCTTGTGTAATAACCTTCTGATTTAGCTTAAAGGTAAAATGAATATAAAAAAAGCAGTGTCAAAGTTTTTTTTTGTTTGGTTAGTTTTTTAAACCTTAATGAATTTATGTTGTCTGGATTTTATTTTTTCATCTACAGAGGCAAAACCTGTCTCTGCTTTGCTTGTTGCTTATAAATGCCCACATTCCTGTTATGTCTGCCAGAGCCAGGAATAAAATCAGCTGTTGTGACTCCCTATCCAGTGCCTGAAGTACAACACTGACCTTCCTCTGCTAGCAGGATATCTGTGTTGCATATGTTGATATAAAGTATGTATTTGGAGCTGCTAACTCTTACTAAGAGCTGTTCAGTTCTTATCCGCTCAATTTAGTCATGCTTTCTTTAGTGGCAAGAAGTAGCCGTTGCTTGTATTTTGAAGTATCTAAAAAGTATCTGAAGAGTGTTTTTAGAACTGTATCTGGTAACTGAGTGACAAAAATAGGAGTGAAAAGCTGCATAAACAAATCCATTTTTACAGAGCTCTCAAGCAAGTGAGCTGGATCTGGTGGACAAGAAGGAAATCAGAATTGTTTGCATACCTGGCATGGACAAGCCAAATCTTTTACCTCTAGAAAAGAAAGTGATTATGTATGTTTGCCTGAAGGCATAATTTGCTTTCAGAGCTGTCTTGTATCTCACGTTTATCAACAGAATTCATCTTGGCTCTCATATGGTGAACTGACTCTGCAAGGCTTGCCCTCAGAAGTTGAAATGTCATTTAAAAAAAACACAAAACATTTATTAACTCAGTGTTTGTGTTTGGAAATTTAAGAGTTGAAAGTATTTCTTGATGTTCCTTTTAGTATCTTTGGTGCATCTGATGTGTACTGTCACTAGTAAATGACTGTAGAATTTTTTTTGTTGTTTAAAATAAAATCAGATCTCAATATTGGCTTTTTGAAACAAAAGTCAGACAACACTTAGGTGTTTGCTTACTTTCCAAATAGGTCTGACTTGTATATCTGGCTGGAGAAGATAAAATATAGATAGTCTCACTGAGGAAAATAATTCCCTGCTTCACCTTGCAGACAAATAGGTCAGTATTATTCATAGAACATAAAGCTGCATGTGCTTTTGAAGAGACAAGGACCTTCAATACTCAGCGGTAAGAAAAAAAGGCTTGGGCTAGTTTTGTTTCTTTCCCAATGAAGCCGTTAATGCAGTGCACCAAGGTTTACAATTACTGTTTCCCAAACTTTTTTTTTTTTTTTTTTTTTCCTCCCATAAGATCCAGGGAAAAAAGATTGTAAGGGGAGTATTTTTTAGTCTGGTGCTGCAAATATGTACATGTATAATGTTCCTGGGAGTAGAATTCCTACAGGAACAGGCTCTGGTACTGCAAATTGTTTTCTGAATCTTACAGCAAAATTTTGAAGTCATGTTATAAAATCTTGGGAATATGTGCTCATAGGAAATAAAAGCTGTGTGCCTGAAAGGTAAAAACCTAACTGCAATCATTTATCATAGCTATCTCTAGTGGAAAAGAATGTTACAGAATTAACAAACAATTATGCTGGAGATCATGTTTATTCTTCAAATTTCTCAAAACAATCTTGAGAGTTTTGGACTTCAGAGAGAAAAATAGCAGTAAGTGTGTAGTATGTAATATCTAGAAGATCAATTACTATGAATTTGCTGCTGCTGTAGACTCAATGTAAAATGAGTCAAATTTAAAACTGAATGCTTATTATTGAAACATGAAAATGACGAATACCTCCTGTATTTTTCACTGTTTTGATGGCTTTATTAAAAGCTCTTCACATAAAGCTAACTGAACAAGGATTAAATGTTTGTCTCCAAACAAAACCTCTTTATTATTGGCATGAGTTTCTTGTCTTTTTTTTTTTTTTTTTTTTCCACCCTGTATGTCACAGTCAAGGAAAATTTTGAAAAAAATTTTTTGAAAAAAAAGTTTGAAAATTTAGGAAAATATTTGTCTTCCTATTCTTTGCTAGTGATTTATTATTATTTGAACTGCAGGTAAAAATAGTTGTGTTTTGGGGGAGGGAGTGTTTTGTTGTTGCTCTTGTTTTTTCTTGTGTTTACAGAGTTTGTTTATCTTGTCCATCAACAAAATATACCAGAAATCTACTGATTTTTGGATTCAGGAAGGTAATCGAGCACAAGAATAAATGTTTTGAATCTATGAAATCTAAAGTATCTGACTGGTATCAGTAATTTATTATGTAATTTTTCCACTTACAAAACTCTCACAACAGCAAATTACATTAAATCACATTGTTAATCTTTAAATTGCTGGTACATAATTTCTTACGTCCGGGAGCCAAGACACATTTTGAGACAAACACTAAAGGGTGTGTTTGCCTCCAATTAGGGAAAAACACTATCAGTGTGTTAAGGTGAGTTGTGGCATGGGTTGTTTTTAATATTTTCCAGGTCAGTTCTCAACACCTCTAGGATGTCTAATTAATGAGATGTGTACTAAATAGTTTCTCTGGAGTAACTTTGTATGAAACTATAGTAGTCTGCATAACTGGTATCGTTTTTTTTGAAATGCTACAAATACTTGATATGAATCATTTTGCAGAACGACTGCAGCCTTCACCTGTGGTGAGCAAAGTTTTCAATATGAACTGCTTGATCAAGAATTGTAAGACAAGTATCTGATATCACAGTTCTAACTTTTTTTTTTTTTTACAACAGAATTTTGCTTACTCATGCTGCATGAAAACAGAATAGAAAACATTTCTGCTATTAAGTATGACCCTTAGAAAAGATTATAGATTACCTCACGTGAGCAATGAAGTAATTTTTTTGACATAAAAGAAAAAACTCAGACTTTATTGGTTAAGATTAAGCAGATTAATGAAACCAGGCTTTTTAGTGAGATATTTAATGCATAAAGTAAATATGTGAGTGGGGGTGATCAACAACTTGAATTGATAAAATACTCAGTCCTGTAACATTTTACCTACCACTTTTCTAAGCCTTCGTGTTGCAAAGGTAGAAATTGCATTACATTAAGTAAAAGGGGATTTTTGCCTCTGCTTTGAATAAAGGTGGTTCTTTGATAAAGAAACATGGAATGGATTTAGTGCACCTATTCTTATGCTCAGTTACCCTCCTGAAACTATCAGGAACTCCTATCAGGAGCACTGATAAAGAAGCTTATTTTATTTGGTGAAAGAGACCAGGAAAAAAACATTACTGCTGTAACCGTTAGAGGTGGTTATAAAATTGCTAGAATACAATCTTCAACATTTTTTTTTTTTTTTGATATTGAAGACAGGATTCTGAGTGATAGAAATGCATGCTGTTGTGCTTGTTTTTATAGACAGAGATATCAGTGTGGGCCTTCCCAAGGACAGAAGACAAGTTTTTAAGCTCTTTGGTTGGTTGATTCCTGGTTAGTCCTACCCCAGGGCCTTATGTAATTGCCTTTGAGTAGGACTGGATTCAGATAAACAGAGTGACATTAACTGCGTTCTTGCTCTTTTCTTTGCACTGACTCTACAGGATTTGGGTTATGAGAAGTTAGGCTTCAAGAAATATTGCAAAGTACTTAGTTCTGTTTCATGTTACCACCTGAGTGAAGGTTGTCAAGTTCTAAGAAAAGCAGACATGAGTTTGTCTTCAAGAAGAGTGACATTGCCTGCAGTTATGCCAATAACTCTGCAGAAACGGGTATGGCATTTAAATCGATCTTGTAACTAACTTTATTTTGAGTTGATAATGCATTTGCTTAGTGTAAATAAACTGTTTTAAATAAACATAGCTATATTTACATTCTATTTTTTTGTGTAATATTTTTTTCCCTGATATATATGTGAACATAATACTCATTTATATTTATATATTTTTTTTGTTACTGTGTTTTTTTCTCTGTCACAATTCTGTAATTATTTATGGAAGAAATTTGATTATAGATTAATGTAGTACTTAAATACAGAGTATCATGATTGCATTTCAGAATATTGAAATAGACCTCTGCAAAAGGATAAGGTACTGATCTTAATGAAAGATAACTGGAGTCCACTGACAAAAATTTTTGACCAGCTTTAAACAGAACATACTTCTTCCTCACACTGTCTGGCTAGCATCTTAGTAGTGGATGGTTCATCATGTACTTTGGGAATCAGGGTAACACTGTACAGTGCTTTGCTCTAGCCACTGTAGCGGGCTACAGTGCCAATGTAGCAGTTTTCTTTTTTTTTTTTTCCTTTTTCCCTTTAATCTCACTAAAGTGTGGAAGTAATACAAAATCATTATGCCTATGTAAATTAGGGTTGCTTAGTGTAACTCTGTGGATGTATGATGTATGGCAATATTAATCTCTATTATGCTATTAAATGGTTCTCACTATTACTTTACATAGAACACAGCATATACTTATGGCGTAGGTGCAGTGAGTCTAAAATAGTATATGAATGCATAGCTGTTATTGATTTAGTATTTTGAGTTCTTTCAGATTAATTTATCACTTGAGTTGCAGAGGAAGCCCGTGAACATGCAGTTTTAGTGTTATCTTAATTACATGGTCATATATAACTTTTCTGGTATAGTAACTTTCCTTTCAGATTCAGATATGTGCAAGATGTGTACGAGAGAGATACTGTGTAAGAGCACTCTACAGAAATGATCTTTCAAAAAAAAATTTGAAGTTTAGCTTCTCAGCTCACATTCTTCCAAACCTGTGGTTCCCTGCCTCCCAGTCCTCAAATCTTCAGTTGTCATAGTTGTTTTATTTTCAGCTGTTATTTGGTTATCTCTATGTTAGGAAGATGAAGGTCTTTGTTCTTGCAGTGTGTAGTTGTATTGGACTCCTCTGGTATGCACAGAGCAGTGCATGGTGCTATGTGGGAGGAGAGAGATGCATAACTTCACTCAATCTAACATTCTGAAGGCTAGGAAACTCAGTTTTAACTGTACTGTATATTTTAATGGATTGTGTTTCATTTTTTGCTGTTGAGAGATGAGCATCATTCTCTGAGCAAACTTAAAGTTTTGCTGTTCTCTCCTAAGGCATGGTGAGTGAGATAGATTTCTGTGCATTCTCTCCTATTTTAAAACACAAATATTTTCACACTACTATCAAATGACCTATTGGCTTTACTTCTTTTTATCTGTGCGCTTTGCAAGCCCAAAATAAAAATATGGGATGTGGGAGGAGGAAGCAGCACAGGATATTGAATTAGGTAGGTAGGTATCGGATTGCACACAGTTGCAGAAGTTCTCAGAGGTGTGTATCCTCCCTGAGGGCTTACTGTATGCCAAATTTGTGTCCTGTTTTTGCTCATGATGGTTATATTTATGCCAGTAGAATTCCCTGCAAATATATCTCCTCTCTCCATTCACAAGGCGCTTTTTTTGTTACTTCTGTAGCACTACCCTAATTCCTGGAACTGGAATACTACAGGGAAGGAAGGCAGGCAGGAAGCAGGCAAGAAAGAGGCTAGCTTGCAAGGGATAATATGTGTGCGTGCATGCATGCATGCACATGTGTGAATTTGTTTTTTGTGGACATTAGAAACATAGAAATGCAATTCAGTCATAATCTATTATTCTGGTATGTAGTGCCTTGAAATCAATTGCTTGGGATACTGCTTTTAAGTAGTATTTCTGTTAGACATTGAAATTGCAGTGCTCTATGTAAAAAGTGATCTTCAATTCTATTTTCTATAATGTAAGAAGAACCTGGACATTGGCAATATAAATATGTTATGTTAGCATTGCATTGTCAAGAGAAAATTGAGCAGTAATTCATAAGGTAATATTTTATGCTATTGATCATCCCCAATAATTATTTCTTTAACATAAGCATCAGTGTTTATGTAAGAAGTTTAGTTTAGTTATGGTACTGAAAGAATCTTTTTTTCCTCCCTCACAAAAAGTGACATTTTTTATTGTTATAGCCTGGCTGTTTTACCAGTTTCTTGAATGTTTTTTTCATTTTCATTCTAAGTAACTATTATGTTTTGTCCATTTTTTTCATACTTTTTTATTTTAAAATCAGAAAAGAAGTACGTATCATAGTTGATCTGTTTTATTCTTAAGTAATATATTTTTAACTAAAGCTACAGGGCCTCATTTAGATTCCAATGGGTCTTTTCGCACGGGCAGAAAAATGAGTTGCTTAATAAGCATGGGGAATTATGCATATCGAATATTATTAAAACCAGATTTATAGTGTGTATATAGACTAGACATATAATTAATCCACCACAGTTAGAGTAAATGTCCTTTTTTAATCTTTTGTTTGAATAACTCCTTACTCTTACAAAAATGTTTTTAAGAAATTAGATTTAAAAGGTCATAATGCGTTCAAAACAATGTTTTACAGTCAGTTACAAACCAGTCATTTATTCAAGATAAAAATCTGCAGGTCTGCTAGACTTGTTGTGTGATAAGTAGAAGAGTACTTAAGCAGCTGATGTTGGATGAAAGGTTTATAAACAGAATTGCTTTTTTTTTTTACAGCAGTTGGGAACTTCCTAGAACACTAGGTCACACAATGTTGGAAGGCCTTATGTACACAGGTAGTATGTATTGCAGCTGAACAATTTCTAGTGATTCTTGAAGAGATTGCATAGTTTCTTTTTAATGGAAGAAATATTGTATTGAATAGTTAGAAGAATAAATTGAATATGAGAAGAATGATTAGAAAATGAGCATGTGGTTTAGATTGCATGCTTATGACAATCCTGGATTTTAGCAGTTTTCAAGATTCTCTTGGATCTTTCTTCCATCCATTTTTTCTGGCCTGAAATAACACACTGCTTTAATGAACACCCACCCCTCCTGCCAAGCAGAAATGGTCACTTAAGCCAAATTGTATTGAGAATTACCAATGTCTGTCTGCAAGGCTAGGAGTGTGAAAGTAATTTCTCAGTTTTGCGTTTGGGTTCCCTGAGATGAAAGGCCAATGTGTTAATCCAGGAATTTTACATAAATGCACTTTAAGTGATATGGTAATGGTGCCATTAAATAGAAATATCTGGAGACAGACAAAGCATTCATGTATGCAGCATCTCCTCATAAGGACAGTTTGGAAAAAATAGTCATTCAAAGATGCATAAACACCACTCATACCCTCTTTCTCTTTTGTACAGTGTAATAAAAGAGTAACATCATACAAAGATTTGAAAACACATGAGAAAAGTAAGAGATGGGTTTGATTGTGCTTTAAAGACTTTGGGAACAGTGGTCAGGAGACCTGATGGTTGAGGTGAAGCATTTTGAATTGCTGTTATATCTTATTTTTAGTGGAATGTTTTTCTTCATGACTTGCTGGGGGGTGTGAGAGAAAATATTGGGAATAACCACTAGGTAAAGTAATACAATGGGCCTGACTGGAAATTCAGTATAGATTTAATGATCTTATTTAAATTACTGGGTGTATTCTGGATGTACTGATACTGGATGTGCAGAGTTTGATACAAATAGTAAAATGTTAAGCCTGAAGAAGGGTTAGGAGCAGAAATGCACGTGCGTGTGCATATATATATATATATATATATATATACACACACATGTATATGTATAGGAATGGGCAGAGACACAAACTCAATGCTGGAGATGGATAGTTTGCTTTTGAAATAAGTTTGTTTAAAATAGCCAGAAGGGGAAGCTAGTAGGGGAAGCTAGTACATAGTTTCAAGGGAAGGTCTTGCCACCTTTGTGGCAAGTAACATGTACTAAGATAGCTGCACTCATTTCCTCTTGATAATACATAAAAATTGCATGGAACTATTTCTATAGGTGCTTACCTGTTGTCTTAGATGTTTGTCTGAGGGAGCATACAGATTTCATGTAAGCTATGAAAGGATGATCTGCCTCAGATTCAGTCATCTGTCATACTTCAGTTGCAGATATTAAGTTATCGGTTCATGACAGAGACTGACGTGATTTTGGAAGTTCAGATTGTGGATGATAAAGAAGGAGGAGGGAGGCACAGTAGCATTTTCTCTTTGTGGAAGAGGTCTGGTTACGCCTCGTTAAGCCCAGGAACTGTGAAGGAGAGACCTACTGACAGGGCCTCCTTAGGGGAAGTATCGCAGCACTTTCTCTGAGGAAGGTTTTGGCCAAGCAAATACAGATCTGATACTATACTTTAGGAAGGTTCTGGGACCGATTTTTGCTTTGAGAATGCATTCTTTATTCTCAAACAGTCACACACCACTTGATCAGTCATACTTACTGGTTTCATGTTTTTAGAAGCAGTAAAGTTTTTGTTCTGTGTCAAATTGATCCCAAAATTTATAAATGAAACCAAAATGGGACTAACTTTACTGAGGGGGGTGGAGTACGAAGGGGTGAGGAAGGATAGGGGAACCCTACCCTGTGATATTCCAGTGCCTATGAGCAATCATATTTTATATATATATTTTTTATACAAAACCATCAATGATCTTGGAAATTAAAATGTATACCACTATATTGCATATTGCCATGAAAGGTAGGTGGGGATGTATGTGTGTGTATGTATAAGAGAGTGAATAATGAGTGTGCAGAGCTTTTAGGATGTCTCTTAGAAACCTTAGTGGTTTAATACACTTGGTCATTACTTGTCCCTTGTATAGTATGACAAGGTTTAGAGGCACAATTAACGTTGCACTCTGCCTTCAGTTCTTGAACATACCTTTGATACATTTTTCAGTTTCTTCATGCTTTCTTTGAACATCTAA